AGATATCCACATTTTATATACTTCTGATAGGATATATTTGGAAGGCGTACTTCTCGATAATTAGAGCATATTTATACGAAAAGAAATCTCATACAAATCTGTTCCCCTTTTTTAACTCACTAAAACGGATCAAATCAATGTGAAACATTTTCATTTTTTCCTACCGAAAGAATAATTGATCGAGATTTATTGGGCGCTACCGGTATACAACTTAGATAAAACACCACAATTACCTTTTTCTGTAGCGTGAACTTTCTCATTACAAACACTTTCAATATCGCAATATATGTATGTATGTATACAATATTGTATGCTATATAATACGGTAGTAATTTTTTATTAAAGGTTTGTTGCTATAAGCAAGTAGCGCAGGCAAGTCGCACTGCGCTTGTGCAAGAAATAAAAATGCTCTAACTTAGGCCAACGGTACTCCGCATAATAAGTAAATAAATTCAAAGCTTGTATGAGATTTATTTTGGTATTTATGTACTCTTCTGTCAGGAAATAATGACTATTGTACATCCAGAACACAAATGCGATCATAAAGAAAATCGCATGAAAGTATGCGCTTTGTGTGTAGGGCTGCCAGACGTCCCGGTTTTCCCGGACATGTCCCGGTTTTAGACTATTTGTCCCGGTGTCCCGGTCCAACCTTAAAATGTCCCGGGTTTCATTTAAGTGTCCCGGTTTTCGATTTGATTGCACAAATTTTGCTTAAAAATTACTACGCTGAGAGAAAAAGGCGTTGTAATATTAAGAAAAATTTTATTAATTTACTGGGGGAAATAACGCATAGTAAACATGAATATGTTTTATTTGATTATCGTTTTGAAATGTTCGTACTTAAAAACAATACTTTCATACCACGCACACGTGGTGTTGAATCAAACTGAACATTTGAGTGCACATTTACATGTCTGGCTGTAGCTGAGTGCACGAAGATGCTTGCCACAATTTGCTAATTTCCAGAGCGTCACGGTTCAAATCCCATTACAGACAGCATGGAATTTAAATAAATTTTTTTTAACTTAATTATGAAAAAGCATCCGTTAAGTGCAAAGCGCTTCATTTTAATATTGGCGTATTTCAATTGAATATTTTTATACTAAATACTAAAATTTGTATACTTAAATTATTACGAGTTGGGTTGGTGCTCTTTCATATGCGATTTTTTTTTTGTAAATGTAGCACGTTTTGCATAAGCAATAGTTGATGATTAATATAAGTATGTACCTAAATACGTTAAAATGACATGCACAGAGTTTTACAATTATAGCAAAAGCCAGAAGTTTTGAAACAAGCTCATAGCAACGAAACAAATTACTGATATTTTAATGTTACCTTGTATTTTTTTTTTT